TAAAGGTAGAGAAATCTTAAAAATCTGAGTATGTGTGGAAAAAAATGTGCAAAGTATAAATATAACTGTAAAAGTTATGACAAATATGACCATAGGAGCTCCTTATGTGATGAGCTGAGTAAGAGCATGTCTCTGACAATTTTTCAGAACTGAAGAATCTCCCCGACTTACACTCACAAGTCAGATCAAAATGTCAGTGATAACATGGGATCTGGTTGACCAGGGTTCTATGTCATGCCAGCATCTTCATGTGAACAGAAAAACTTTAAAGCCAACCTGGTCTCCACTAGTTCAGTCATTTGTGTGTGGACTCCATGTTACTCATTCATACATGTAGAATCTAAACGACGTCCTGCTGTTCATCCAATTAGTGCTTCGCCGTGGGGGACATGAATGAGGACACTTCAGCTGTTCAGTGAGGATGAATGGAAGATGGAAGCACTGAGGAGGAGAGATACATTTGACTTGTGGAAATAAGAAATGGCAAATCAGTGCTGGAGCCTGCAGCATCAGTCACTCAGATAAGGATGGTGCTGTCATAGGGCACCAAACTGCCTACAGCACCCACATTCTCATCTTGTTATCTAAAGAAAGCAACTAGGATGATTTGACAAAATAAACGTTTTGTAATATTAACAATGGTAATCCAACTCATATGCAATGTTTCATCTAGAGACAATTGAAGGCTTGTAAAAATGTGTATTTTTTAAGCAACAACGTTGACATTCACAATAGCTGTTTAATTGCATCTTGGGACTCTGGGAGCTTCAGTGTATTCAGGCTGAAAGTAAGACTCTAGGAGTACAACACTGGGAAACTGTGTAAAACGTTGATCAAAAACACAGGTGGACCAATGTCTAAGAAAACCCATGTTTGACTTACAGATGAAGTAAAATAATCAAATATAAAAGATGCAGAAGCTCTGAACATCTTTCCCACTGAGAGCCTATGCATCTCTTAGGTGCTCTCTAAAGTGTGTACAGGCACATTCATGTCGCTGAAGTTTTGTGAGTTGATTTCATAAACTCAAACTTCCCCAAGACCTGCCATTTTGGATTTTTGTATGGACCGCCGAAGTCCTCTTGACATTACAAGACCATTACATTTGCCAAATTGTATTACTCCAACACATGTTGTGGACTATATTGTATGTGACTCCAGGCTGTAACTAATGAAAAATGTGGCAGCAGAACATTTCTACTCTGCTGCCAATTGGACGTGCCACTGGCAAGTTCAATATAATGAGGGTTTTAAAAAACAAGCATCAAATTCAATTCTATTATTTTATACAGCAAGGTAAAGACTGATTGATTGATGCCAAATAAAACAATCAATTAAAAAGACATCAATGAAAATGTATACATTATCACAACAAGATGTTAAGTGTACTGTAAAAGTATGATAAACCACAGCTATCCATCCATTAAAACAACTTAGTCCAAGTCAGGGTCACAATAAGACTGGAGCCAAGTGCAACATGGGTAATCAGACAATTACGGCGTGGACAAATTGCCCATTTATCACAAGGACGGACAGAGATAAAGGAGATAAGAAACCGCACTTACTATTATATTTTGGGACAGTAGAATGAGGCCAGAGAATAAAAATATGCACATATACATGGTAGGGAAACGTAAAGTCCACATAAAGGAGAAGGGAACCAGTTGGGGGTCCAAGCAGGAATCCCCCCGCTGAGAAGTGACAACCACACTACCGTTAAGCACAGGTGCAATCACTGAAATAAAAAAGTAATAAAGAGGCTGAGACAAGAGTAAAAACATTGACGAAGTCAATAATCCAAGTAAAATAGAGATCACAGCTAAATCTTAAGGGGAAAAATAACTTTTTCTAAAAGCAGTCAACAGAATTCATCAACACTGCTCACTCATGTATGTTTAAATAGGATACCAAAATAATGAGCTCCATGCAGATAGTTACCCAATGTGTTTCTGAAGGATAATTCTCAACAGAGTGACTTCACTGAGCATATTTGGCCTGATTTGGTATGACCAAAGGTTAAAGCCTAATACAGCCTGAAGTGAAATGGGGCTCAGAGCACAACGCAGCAACTAAATGAAAAAACACAGTCTTTCATGTCTTGGACTGCTGAATCACAGCTATACAACTAAAACTCACTGATAATCATTGCAGAAATTATTACTGTAATTAAAGGTTTTAGTACTGAAAATCAGCTTGGCGATTCTTCTGAGCATCACCTGATCTTTTGACTCATTTTGTCTGACATTAAGTAGCCATTTCTTTCTTCAGACAACGTTTCATTCGATGACCTCACTGTATCATTAATAAAATGTCTGCGGGTTAAGACTGTGACATGGGTGACAGGGTACAGTTAAGCCACCTGATCTCAAAGGATGAAGGGGGGGAACGTGAGAAATTGGAGGGGAACGGCAGAGAGGATGTTTGAAATGGATAAGTACATGAGCTCAGACCTGTGGACAAAACAAGAGGCTTTTGAATTGACTATTGAAAGCCAAAGAATCAGGAAAATACCCACAAGAATGACTGCAGAGGGAAAGATTCTATGATGAACAAAGTGGGTGCAGAGATTGACTGCAGGAATTAACTATAATGAAACGGACAGTGTTGCAATAGCAATTAGTAATGATTAAGTTTTCATTGTCACCCGCAGTCGATATGTCAAGTAAAACAATTTCAGAAGGACTGGAAGAGGGATGAAATGGTAGACAGACATAAGTGAAAGACGATGGTGCAAGAATAGTAAGGTGAAAAGGTGAAAGAGAGAAGTAAGAGAGAGAGAGGAGGCAAAACAGGAGACCCTTTATTCCTGTGGCGTTTGGACAATGTTAGCATCAAAAAGTTGTGAAGGTTTAAAGGTTAACTTCCAACTGGGAGCCCTTAACACACAAATGGAACACTCCCATCACGCACACACTCAGAGGACAGACTGCGCTGCCCATGGCTGAGATCGAAAGTAGTAGTAATTGTGGCAATAACTGCAGTGATTGCTACTTCTTAATATATGACACTGTCATTATTCACATGTTTTGTGCTTTTCGTTTTGTTTTCATTCTGAGCTGGAAGTGTGGGTGGCATTGAATATCTTCAGTCTCTATGTTCATTGAAAAACAGACCTGAAGAAAAAAGTCAAGACCTACCTTTGCGAGATCATCCCAGATGGACTACTGAAGAATGTGACAATAAACCTCTCAAAAAATACATCTGATTCTACTTTGGTTGCCTGATACCACCTCACAAGGCTGAACTATACAATATCACAAAAATGTGTATTCAATGTTTTCTTAAATATACCCAGTATGAGTTTTCTTGCTACAATAGTCAATGTACTGTCCTTGAAAGTTATTGAATTATAGAAGTTGGGGGCAGGAAGGGAGGAAAAAAACAAAGTGAAATTAAACAAAAAAAAATTACTATTATTATTTTTAGTGATGAATGGACAAATGAATGAGGGAGAGACTGAATGACTTGAGCACGTGCAAGAGACTCGTGGGTAGACTACGAGTGACGGTAGCTATGGTAACAGCGCTGTCAGAAGCTGCATTGGTATAGCAACTCCTTTTTTTTGCCATCCTTAAATTAATTCAGACCTATTATCTCTGGACGTGTGTGTGTAAAATTGAAGTGGCCATGTAACCGACATGGGTTAGGGCATGTGGCACGTGCATTGTTACGTTGGTGCATTTTTAAAAAATCCTGATCAGATTCCTTGAAAAACTCCTATCAAATGTACTCGGTAAAGTTTCGGAGCCACAGAATGGGGCACCCTGGCCAAAAAAAAAGATAATAATAATAAGAGTAATGAATAAAAGAAGAGGCGTTTTACAGGGAGGAAAAAGTCACGGCTGGATGGAACACACGACCGTGTAGGAGGTAAAAATAACCCCAAAGTTTCTATTTCTCTCCACTGTCGTCTTCCCCTGATCCTCTTCCTCCCTCCGCCGGGACGCTATTTTTAGCTCACGATGATTCTCAGAGGGAGAGCGTGATCGTCTGTCTGCCACAGAGCCGCACGTGCGCCCACCGCACGTGCGGTCCTCCGCACAACAGACCAGGAAGGCAGGCAAACATGGGCGTCAGACACGAACCGCCACCAACGCATCCACCGGTGCCAGAACCGGGAGCAGGGATGCGGAGGAGGGAGGAGGGAAGAGAGGAGGAGGGAGGAGGGGAGATGACGGGGGAAGAAAGGACTTTATATTATCTGCAGCCTGACAAAAAATTCAGGAAATCCGGGATGACTCAGACAAAAAAAGTGGGAAATGACACATAGTGGTGCTTCATTCATAAGTATTTCAGCAGTATTCGGGAATGGTGGGTGGCTGGAGCCTACAGCTTTTCCCATTTCAGGTGTGTATTCATGAATTGATTTCACGTTCTTTAAGCAGATTATTCGGTAGACATTTAAAAGTGAGGGGCTATTGATTTACAAGCAGTGTTGATTAATTGATTGTCAGCAGGTGAGTGAAAGGTGTAGTTCAAAGGAGGGGAAAAAAACAAGATAAGAGGGCATGTGGAGTTTATGACTAATTGAAATGTTCAGAAAATGCTGACTGAAACATGAATACAGTTCAAGAAACTGAGAAAGTTTAGTACCTTAAAACTTTGCACTTATTGCTCGGAAACAGTTTGAAAGTAACTTTGAGCTCCCAGCGGATCAACAACAGCTTTTTCCGACTTTGTCTCTAGTACTGCACCACACCGTTATGCTCTCAAATAACTTTACATAATTGTGAGCCTTCAGCCATCTTTGCTGTCTCTTCAATGTGAACAGGACTCGATTTATTTGAAGCAAAAAAATAAATAAAGCTGTGTTTTCTGATGTTGCTTCATAGACATGATTACACTAAACTAAGGAGTGAAGATATAAAAGCTAGAAAAACTTACCAGGAAACAAACAGAAAACCAACTCTTATGACCAGATCACGAAAGAGTTTAACACAGAACTGAAGCCTGAGACAAAACAAGCACTGAGTAAAGCTCAAACAAAACTCCTCCTGGCATCATGGTGGCTTGAGAGCATCTCCTGGAGCCTCACCTCCTCCTGGAAGTACTCTGAGCGTTTCCAGGTCTGGCTTCAGCAGGAAGACGGCATTATTACCCACATCCTAGTGGAGAAAATTTTAAATCAAGGAGCATGTCCTGCTGGATTAAACTTTTCATATGAAAAGGAGTTGAAGTCCTGGATGCAGGACGTGCCACAGGTGGGTGGCAGCCTGTTTGGTTTTGATCCAAGAGAACGAAAGGTGCTTTAATTCACGGTGCAAACTCAAGAGTCAGCGTAAGCCTCAAGTGTATACCTGCAGCATATCAATTTGATGAAGCACAAGGTGTGTACTTTATTTTTCATTTGAATAAGATTTCATTAATTCTTTGGCTGCAGCAGCTGTGTCGCTTTCCAGCTTGCAGGGGCCTTATAATTATGGCTGATCGTTTCATACCATGGCGCCACGTCAACACCCGGAGCTGAACAATTGCGGTTTACTTTCTGAGTTGTCATTATCCCAGTGCTGCTTAACCAAATCTCCACGGTAACGTTCAGAAAAGCAAGGTCACCAGGAGATGTAAGGGATGTCGAACTTTACAGCCTGATCAGAGGAGTGTGCCTTTAACTTTCCCAACACTTTGGGAGGCCCCAACAGCTCAGTTATTTTCAAAAGGACCACCATCGGTGCTGAATTTAGCTGATGATCTCAGGATGTTGAGGAAAAAATAATACCGACGATATTCGGTAGGACAAAGCGAGGGTTTTGAAAATCTGTTGGTTTTCTGCTGCTTGTCCTCTGTAGTTCGCCATGAAGCAACAAAGCCCCCCAGCTGTTCTGTTTTTCTGTCTTAAGAGTGTCAGCAGACCACACAAGTCCCTCTGGATTATGCGATCTGCAGCATATAGTTCCTGTATTACCAACATGCTTTGATTCTGGTTCGAGCTCATCTTTTAAGGGATTCTCTGTTGTCGACTTGTCCGTCCGACGTTTGCAGTATACAGCCCAGAATCGGCGGGTGTTCTTCTAACCCCCCGGGGAGTCCAGGAGAAAAGCTGCATTTCGGCATAACTGTCAAATGTTGTTGCATCTGCTCCCATTTGCTTTTGTGGCCCAGGGTTTTGTTCCCAGGCACTCTATCAGGAGGTGGACCGTGTTTCCGCAAACAACACGAGCAAGTGACTTTAGAGTCAATTTAAGATGACGGTAGGAAGTCGGGGCTTTTGGGGGCAAAATCCATACAATTTTGACAATTTAAGTCCCCCCAGCAGCTGTGGTTTACACAAGGCCAATCACCCCCTGAGTCCAGGCTGTAATAACTCAAAGGCTTATGAATGGATTGTCATGAAATATTGTACAAGGGCTTATTTTTCTCCAGTGCAGAAATCCTACTGACTTTGGTGATCCTCTGACATTTTTTTGTTCTAGCACCAGAGGCTGACATTTTTGTTTTTGTGGGGACTATCTTCTCAGCTGTTTCACCTGTGTACAGTGAAAACAGCCTGGCACCTGTCATGGCCGAAAGCCATACGTCTGTTATATCTGCCGTTTAGCTTAAGTCAGGTCAGTTCTGTTTAGACTGTCACGGTCACACTGCACCCTGAGGTAGAAAAAATTAACCTTTTTGTGATTGTGGATTGTGGATTTCTTATAATTAATCATATTTTCAATCACATTTTGGCTAAGATTTGGTTTTAAGCCTTGTTTGGACTGCCCTCCTCAAAAACTGTTGAAACATCATATCATGAGAGATTGAATATTGTGAAAGCTCCTCTGGACCTGGAAATCTGACAGTTTTGCTTTAGTGCAACATTGAGTTTTTATTGGTAAAAAGGTCAACATTTAGTGTTGCAGTGTCTTCCAGTGGGATGTGTTTCCTTTTAGGCAAACAAATCCTGAAAAGACTATTTGTACTCTGTTAGTGAGTCAGTGTTATCTTTGTTGACCCATTTCCTTTCAATACAGGCTTTGTGAGACATGACTGACTCTATCGTTGCCCTATACCACAATCTTTAAAATGTGTTTATCTTTTGTGCCAAAACTGACATAAAAAAGAAAGTGAATCCTTTTTTTTTCTGCCAGTGAGGCATTTCTGGATGTGAATATTTCCGGTCAAAGCTGTGTTGAGCCATCTCAGGAATCCAGAGACTGCCACCCTAGAGGAGCAAAATTAAGCTGACAAAAAAAAATAATTCAGATCAATTATGGAAATTTCGTTTGGGGTAATCCTGTGTGGATCAATAGTAAGTCTTTCCTAAATGAAATTGGAAGATACGGGACTATCTACTGTGGAAGACTATACGTGAGCTAAATGAGCTATTAAGCTTTGCCGCTGGCTTGCTTATATGAAAATGATGGCTTGGACTAGATTAGTAACTCAGCAGTAGAGGATCATTAGAAGTCTTATAGTTACTCTTATGCTGGTTTGGTAGAGTATATCATTGGGATATTGCACTGCCGTTGCAGAAATCATTCTGAAACTGCATTCAAAAGGCTGGATTCCACTAAGCAATATCCTCAAGAACCTCATATGGAAATAGGTTCATGAGTTACATTTAATTGAAAAAATTAGCCTGACCCAAAGACAGCACAGCATATGTGATAGTTATTAAGGATGACACTGATTTTGTCAGCTAATTAGTTTCAATCAGTGAAATCGAATACCTTCATATTCCATCTGAACCACATCAGTGGTGAATGGTCTTTACCAACACGTCAAACTGCTGTGATGTTTCAAAGGCAGGGAATGGTGTTGAGGAATTAATTCATTTAGTGTCTGGGTCAAGAAAATCACAATTTAACTGACTCTCTCTTAAAGCCATACTCTATGTGGAATTCTTTTCACCAAAATATTTGTTAGGAATTATAAATGGAAAACATTATAACATGTTTAAGTCTGCTAGTTACATTCATTCGTCAGAAAAATGACTGTTTATGGTCTAAGTCATCAGTGTTACCTCATGTGACCCTTCCCTCGGCCAAAAAACAGTCCAACGATCATGATCATGGTCATGGTCATGATTTGTTGATGATGTATTCATCCACATACATTTTTTCAGCAGTTCTTTGGTTGTTTTAGTGCCAACCTAGAGATAACGACATTTGTAAGAAACGTAGCTACCTCTCTTGGCAACTGTTCTCTAATAAGATGAAGACTGATCTTACAATTCTGATTCTAATTAGTGACACATGATCTGATTTGAATATTCACACACAGCCTAAGTGATCGTTGTGCTTTCATGGCCTTATAAAATGTATATGGGAACTCACATTTTTGTTTTTGTGAATTTGCAAAAAAAGAAAAAAAATCTATATGGGCCAACTTTACACAAACATGTGGAGACTCTACATCTTCATTTCTCCCTGCTCCTTTAGGCTGTCAGTGGACTGGATTGGACTGGACTCTGCTTCATTCTGCTGGAGTGATGCGGATGAACCAGATCAAAGAATGACTGCACTCCTTGCACTTTAGCAAGTGTTATGCCACTGCAACCACGCCCATTTCACTGGCGCTCAAAGAGGCGAGCACACTGAGCCCCAAAGTAACCACATCTTAACGCCATATCCGGGCAACACAGATAGCAGACAAATATAAACGCAAGTGACAAAAAAAAACGCATCAACTGAACCCAACGTGTCCCAGAAAGAGCCTGTGGAAGTTAATAGCCATTGATCTATCACTATTTCTCTGCTCTACTCTGCGGGGATTCCTTTTCTTCTCTCTCCTAAACTTTTAATTGTGTCCTCAACATACAAGACAAACTTTGGTAACAAAAGACTGCCTTGGCTGGTGGTAGGTGTACATTTGTGAGGATGTTTCAGCATCTGAGAATGGAAAAGAGAGACTGTGCTAAACGGGTGGTGGTGTCACACTGCTTACATCTAGTGGATGATGAGGGAGCTGCAGGTTTATGGGAAAAAGGCTGCACAACGCCTGCCTCTTTCAGCATGCTTTTATCCTGCTGAGCAGAGTGAGTTGATCTGGGCAACTTGTAAGCCCTCAGAACAGCATGCTTCTGTAATGGTGCACTTTTTCAGTAGCTTTGATTTGGCTTTCCTAAAACTTGATGTGCTATGTCCCAAAAATGTAAGACTGAAAGATGTTTCAAATATGTTTTCCAAATTTTATTCAAAAGACCATTTAAGATCTACGTGAGGAAATTAAAATAGTTTGTGAAAGAAATCTTGGTTAGGCGCCCAGCAGTGAGTTATATGCAACTAATGCTCAGTTTAATATACAGTCAACCCAGGAAAAAACAAGTGTGGAGGCTCCCGTCTGCTATTTCATTTATCAGCTTGTTAGAATCCATGAGTGGGAAGACACAGCTGTATTCATTATACAAGCATTTTTCTGCAGAATCGGACTAAAAGCCAAAAAACAGTCAGATATAACAGCATGATGGGCAGACTGTTCCATATTTTCAATTATCCCTAATTGCTTTTTGTTCAAACCAATGGGCCTAAGGTAAGGATGTTATTAAAAGCATTTTGCCCGGACTAGTCTTCCTTTCTGAACATATATAATTCATTCCTCTGGACCTAACTCTGCTTGAGCTTTACATATATCCTCAGCTAAATGGTAGTAATTAAGGAATTCAGAATCTCTGCCTTAATTGTGCCTGACAGAGATAAAATATGTAATTCTTACATTAGTCCTGTTTTTTCCTTTATGTAAGGAGCAAATATTTTTCCTCTGTCTACTTAGTGATATGTTAAATACACATTTTAATACAATACGCAGTAGATTTATTTCTTTAAGGATTCCGGGACCAGACTGTATCCTTGAGGGAAAGTGTTCTCACAAAAGAAGATGCAGACATTTTATGGTGGTTACGCCCCCTGTGGGAGTGCATTGGTAATAACTTTATTGCAAAAATACAGGTTCCCTCTTTCCCCGAGCAACGCCACCCCAAAACTGAGTCTACACACACCCACAAAAAACTCCATCTTCATCAGTTACTCAGACCTTGGTCTCTGTCCGTCACCTCATTCACACACTCTTGAATCTTTAGGTTTACATTCATTCGCTCTGTTTCTCCTTCATCTCTCCACCAACTTGTTGCTCTCTTGTTGCATTCAATTGGCTGAGACATAGCAGTAGATGCAGAACAACAAAGTTAACGAGCAGCATTAAACATGAGATATCATGATATCATCATCCTCCTCCTCCTTGCCTCCTTGTCTCTGCCAGGCCGTCGGAGCGCCTGTGGGTGGATGCGTCTGCTTCCTAACTGTCTTTGATACAGGACTGTGAGGGAAGGTTGATTTGCATAGCGGACTCATGCGCTACAGTTGGCTACATTCTCCCACATCCAGAACCCAAATAACAAACGATCGACAACAAATAATGAACCTAAATGAAAAATAAGAGTAACAAGCTGAGTTACGTGCCAACCTTTGGTTTAGTTACATCAATCAACATCAGTAAACTCTTGAAAAACTTTACATTGGCCAGTTGTTTTATAAGGGCTTTGTTAATTGATATTAAATAAAGCATTTAATAAATGTACTCACAATGTCAGAATGCTACTCATTTACAAGGGGAGTGAATTAAGTCATAAATGTATAACAACTGTTTTTACAACTGAGGTGAGTGGTTGACATTTCTGAAGATTAGCTCACTCGCTGAAAATATACCTTTAATCTGTATTCATTATATAAAGCATATTAATATTAGACATGTCTTTGTCTCTGGATAAAGATAAGCATCTGTCTTCATTTCTGGGTTTCAAAACCAACTTCAGTGGGATAAAAGAAAATCCTAAAAATGTGAATTTAAAAGTGCCACTGAAGTTCACCTGAGGCCTTAAAGTGAAACAAAACGCCATTGACTTCTCTCCCACTCGGTCAAATAGCCTTCAGAAAGTGCACTTCTGCCGAGCAGCCCCACAAAGTGCACTTGAGTCATCTGCTTTCATTGTTAAGAGCCTAAGAGATGGGTTTCCTAACCTACATTCTCTCATTCCTTCACAACTCTCCTCCCTGCCGGCCTGTTTGTGGTGCGACTGTTTCACGTTTGGAACAAAAAAAAACAAAACAAAAAAAAAAAAGCAAGCAAGAATAAAAGAAGGCAAGAAAAAAAAAGATAGAGGAGAAGAAGCAGACAGAAAAAAAAAAAGGAAGCGCTTTTCTTGTTTAATCTCCCGGTAGAAACGGGAGAGCTGTCATTAGGTCGGCGAGCGGTTTGGGGGTGGAAACTCCAGCTAGACACTTGTGAAGTGCACTCCACTCCTATTTGAAATGCAGACATGAGGAAGTACCACTTTTAGTTTATCAATATTTGTTAATTATCGTTATCAACATTCCATAAGGTCTTATTAATTAACATATAGGTTTCATACATGAGTTTTTCTGTACATGACTTTTAGTTATTAGAGTTCAGTTTCAGTGAGTTTACTGTGTGCACACACAGGAGGAAAAAACACAATGTAACCCAAAAACAGAAAGAGAAAAAGTATGGCTGTCCATCTGAAACAGACTGAGTTCAGCTACATGTGCGTCCAACAGGAAATGCCCATGAAGAAAGAGGAAGAGGCGTGGCTACTTGGTAAGCGTCTCCCCCCTGAGCTGAGGGGTCCTGTGGGGGGCGGGGGGGTGGACAGAGTTCAGCAGTTCCAGCTGGACCAAGCTGAATATACAGGAAAACCCTCAGATAAACCAAGGAGGAGACAAGAAACAACAGTCCAGGGAAGTAGGGGGGAAGGTTGAGGTTGTAGTTTGGGGGGAAGGGGGGGGGGGGCGGAGGGACTGCATAGACAGAATAGTAGGTTAAAGGGAGAAAAGGGAAGGAGAAAGGCAAAGAGGGGCTAAGCGGGGTGCTGCAGGCGCTGAGGGAGGCTCTACGTCAGTGCTGATGTGTGTGTGTGTGTGTGTGTGTGTGTGTGTGTGTGCGTGCTTCTGTTTGCATGTGAAGGAGGAGAAACCAGACTAGCGTCATGTTCATCCTCCCAGACAAATCCCAGGTCCATGGTGGTGAGGCTGTCGAGGACCCCGGGGCTGCCGCCCCGTGTGGAGGAGGACAGAGTGACCATCAGCGGAGCAGAGTAGGACTCTGGTCCGAGGGCAGTTTCACCCCCGTCAGACACAGCCAAAAACTCCCAGCACCGTTGGACAGCTCCTGGACAAGAGGCCAGATAACAGGATGAAAATTGGACCTGTTGTGTTGAGGTGGGCTGTGCTTTGCTTAGAAGGGACTTTAAATTGCCAAAACATGTGAAAACAATGCAGACATGAGTATATCTGATAAGCTGCTACTTCAACATACACAAACCTTCTGAAAGACCATAAAACACATTATAAGATTGAAACCTTCTGCATTAAATTCTTTCAATTAATTCTTTAAGTAGACCATTTTAACATTCATCATGTTTGCACATCTGAATGAGACTTTTTGTGTGCTCAACTGATGAAGAAATATTGATGGTTATTATTGATAATATTTCTTTAATTACTTTTTTTTTGTTCAGAACAACTTCATAAGTTATTTTCACTTCAGAACATTTTTTTTACACTGCCTAATAAATATGATTGTCTCTAATAAAATCACAGCAAGCTTTAATCTTGCTAATTTCTCTACAAGCATTTCATTAACTCACAATCATTTGTTTTTCACAAACTCCCCTCTCTGTGTTTCAAATGTTTCACCTGCATTTTAGACCCTCTTCAGTCTCTTCTCTTTGCACGTTTTCACCTCGGGCGTGTAAAAGTTAGAGGCTTTGATTTAGTCTGAACTTCAGGTTCAGATTGTCAGAAAACGTTGTAATACTAAGCACTGTCTTAGAGTTTCATCATAAGGAACATGCCCCCTGATAATAACTTGGATAGCAGTGTGGGAAAAAGGCACAAGACAAGATGGCTGGAAACAGTCAGAGAATAAAGCATGATGTATTAGGCAAAGTTTATGTTCCTTTTTGTGCTTTAGAACTTCAATGGCTGGGATGAGCGGGCTATTTTTGTCTAATATCCACATCTTTTGGCATTGTGGTATTTCTGCATCATTTGTCTCGTTCATTCACCTTTTGCAAATGCAGTTTTCTGACTTTAATGGAGGCGGTGCAGCGACATCTAACCTGCCAAATACAGATACACTGTAGTTTGTATTTTGTAGTTTAAGTGTAAGTAAAATAACTTCCCTGCTGTCAGTGTAGTTAAAGATTAAGAGCTAAGTTGATTCTCTACTCCTATTTTTAAAGCATGTACTAATTAGGATTTCTTTCTTTTTTTAACGACAGCCACTGTTATTGCAGCTGCAACCTGAACTAATAAAGTTCATTTTTATTTGTTAAATCACAGACAGTCATTGTGACTCGTGATTTATTGCTATTGTTAATGTACACTTTGAAAAATACTGGCCAATATAAAAAAATTGGCAGCTGCCACTTCTGAGAAAGCATGGTGCACCTTACCACTGCAGCTGATAATACTATCAGATTAAAAGCAATATCAGCCTGCTGGCAAAGTCTCCAAACTAATTTAAGAAGTGAGGGTGCACGTCGTAGTTGCACAAGCAGAATAGGGAGAGAATTATTTGTGCTCTGGTGTCCCGTTTTATTAATAGCCCCTCACTTTTCCTCACTTGTCCTTTACTTTCTTGTTCCTCGCTGTTGGTTTTACCATTCTGGTTTCAGTTAATTTCTGCTCTGTTCTGCTCAGCATATTCCAGTATTATGATTAATGATTGGGTCTGAATTTGCTGCGGTTGGTATATTCTGCATGAAGGTTTTTGCTCATCTACAACAAATGATGGAGTTATGACAATAGGGAGTAGTAGGTGTTTTATCATAATCCTTACTTTAGGCTACACTTCAATCTTAATATGCTCTAAAGTGGGAGACATTTACAAATTTCAAATTTTGGCTGATTGAGACTGGGAAGAAAATCATTCTCCCAGGATACGGCCATGTGCAAACTGACATTTTTGGCTTCTTTTGTGCCAGATGAGTCTATTTTGGAAGATGCCAGAAGTCAAAGTCCCAATTCTAAAGTCCCCAAATGGACTTATCTGGCACACAAGGTAGCCAAAAACAAAACGCCAGAGAGTGTACTGCAGATGCAATCGAACGGCTATTTCCCTGAACAAAACCTTACTGCAACCTTAGCTTAGTGCAGTGTTTACCTGTGAAGCGGTGAAGGGAAGTGGTGATGAGAAAGTGTTGGTGATGAAGAGGATGGAGGAAGTGATAGTGGTGGAATAGCAACAGGGACTCAGAAGAGAGGAAGTAAGCAAGGAGAGGCACTGACATCAGCCTGCTTCACCTTTGAAAGAGGACAGAGGAAAGAGGAGCAGAGAGTAGGGAGGACAGATCGGAAGCAGAAAAAGCAGGACAAAAAGGAAGAAATGAGACAAACGGCGGGGAGAAGAGAACAGGGAAAAAGCAATGTGTAAAATGCATCCACGGGACAACGGGCAGATGCAGTAAAACAGCACGGCCACATGGAGGCAGCAGGACGCAGGACACTGTACTCACAAAGCTGCGGGTCGCAGTCAGGCGGCCGCGGCGCGAGGTCACCACCGTGCCACTCAGGCTGCGTCCTATTCGCCTTTGGTTCTCCCCATCACCGGGCTCCACCCCAAGACGCAGATCCTGCAACATAACTGGCTGCGGAGGGAGAAACAAATGTCTGTCACGCGCCTGGAAATGGATCCGGCTGACGACCTGTGAATACGTGAGGGTATCCTACTAAAATTATTATGTAGGTGTTGCCTTGTTGAGGTAGGTGGGGGTGTTGGCGCAGTCCGCCCCGTACACACTCCTCTCCATGTCTGCGTTTGGGGTCTTGGAGCGAGCCTGTCCTCCTACCCTGGATATGAGCCTCTCCGATGGGCTGCAGCCTTAAAGCACACGGATGGACGAAATATGTCAATAATGTTTTTCTTAAACTCAGCTCACAGGTTTAATGCTATTAGGTTTAGATGCTATCCATTTAAATTTGAAAAATTAGAAACCAATACAAATGTTCACAGCAAAAAATTAGTTATTTTGTTTTTTTTGTTTTTTGTGGACATAAATTAATAGATTTTTTTTGCAAAAATGTGTATTTTCTTCGGCTTTCTCCCACATCAAAAACCTTGTGATATTATCTTGTGATTCAAAATTGCCCAGAAAGAGCGAATGTGAGAATGCATGCAATGTTTTTTTGTCTTTTAACCTTTCCACCCTTCCTCTGATGGCAGCTGGTATAGCCTCAAGCCCCCTGTGACTCTGAATATATGTTGCTTAGTTTAGGAAATGGTTGGATAGATATTGTCAAGAGACAGAATGTGAGAAAGTACTCCCACAGAAAAGATAATAATCTGAGGCTACTAATTAGTTTAGACTATATTTATAAATAAGATGTATAAGCAAAGAAACCAGACCTTCTTTATTTAAACACAAGCTCCTCTGAAAACACTTTTTGGAGATCATCTTTTTTTTCTATATATATATAGAGTTTAGGAAATCGTGATAAAACCAATTAAAAATTATCACACACCCAAGCAAATGGCAAAATAAGCCCACCTGTGTATGTGTTTTACGTCACAATAGAAATCATAAACTGACTAAATACGTTTTTTATGGGTATTCCCTATTTCCATGGGGACCAAACAGTGGTCACTATAGGTACAAGGTGATTTTTGTGAGTTAAAATTAAGTCTTGGTTGGCATTTGAATAAAATTGTGCTTTTAGTTGTGAGGTTGGGGCGAGTAGCTACAGGATGGGCACTGAAACAAACCCGTGTGTGTGTGTGGTTTCATACCTGTCCTCCCGGCCAGCAGGCTGGCCTGGTAAAGGGAGTCCAGCTCGGACAGCTCGGCCACTTCGCGCTCGCAGCAGGGATCGCTCTGCAGCCCCCCCGGGGCATGCTGGGAGCTGTGGTGCCCCGGAGACGACTGGCAGCTGTAATTGTAGTTGTGACCGGGCGTCCGCGGCCTGATGGGAACGCAGCGGTCCGGGGGCGTGTCGTAGGGCGTCACCACGGCGTCGGGGCGGTCCAGGCTCCAGGAGGACCAGTGACGCGTGCCGCCGTCCGCGGCAGCTCCCTGCTGCTGCCAGTGGCCGGCCCCGGGGTCAGGGGCCTGGGTTTGGGGGGGCTGCCAGAGCGGGGTGACAAGTTTTCTTTGCCTGGAAGTTTCCAGAGGATGTTGGAGTGGGAGGGTGGAGGGAGGGGGCGGAGCCTGTGCGGGTTCGGGGTGTGCGGGCGGTGAGCCGTGTGCGATATGTGTATCCCAGAGACGCAGAGGAAGCGAGGGTAATGAAATGGCTAAGTGCTTCCCCAGGGGTCTGACACTCACTCCTCCGGCCTGCAGCAACTCACACAGCCTCACCCCCGTGCCCTCTCCCCCGTCCTCACCTTCCTCCCCTCTCCTCCCCGAAAGCCCATCCTCTCCGTCCCCCTGCTGGGAAGGGCCACATGGGTGGGGGATACTGAGGGTGAGTGTGGGCCGAAGGGGAGCGGGTCTGTATGGGGGAGGGGGCGGGTCCTGGCCCAGAGCAGCGTCCTGGCTGGGCGTTGCCTGGTCCTCTTCCTCCTCCTGATTGGGTGTCAGCAATACTTGGACCGAGCCAGGCTGTTCACTGGAGGACACAAGCGACGATGGGTATCAGCCAGAAATCAACCATAAAAAATAAAAGAAAATTAAAAACCAGACCACTATTGCATTTAGGGAAGGTTATAACAACATAATAGGATATACAAGCAGATAAACCCACTGACAGAACGGGTGATAACAATGATGCAGACTTGTGCAAGCATTGCTCTGTGTATGGCAGGCATGCTGTTTATGAGTCAAGCACAAGCTCAGCCGCATTGTCGGCAGGATCTGTGATCTGAGCAGAACAAAAAACTTCTCCCCAATTAGATTTTCCCAGCAGAAATCCTTTCGGCGTAGCACCGAACTCTGCCACAGTATTTTAAAGAGTGAAATATATTAGGTTTCCATGACATGATTGAGTGATTCGGTCACACTGCGCCACTCTATCATTTCATTGATTCGCACATACTCATGTGGTTATGATGCACGTGCAGTAGCAGATTCCTCTCTGCAGACACTTGGCACATGCTCTGTGCTCAGAGCTGCACAGAGTGTGCCGGCATGTGCAAATAAAAGCTCTGTAAATGTGTCTATTTTTGTGTCCACGATCGCATGTGTCTACGTGAGGGCCAGCCCACATCCCCCTCATAAACTCCCCTGTCTCTTTTCAGCCTAGTAATTACCCAGAAGGCTTTGCAGAAGTGAGCTATAAATCAGACTCTTATGTTGATCAATAGAAGAGAGGAGGAAGGTAATAAAAGAAGCCGAGTGCCGGGAGCTTTACCTCCACCTACTCTTTTCCTTCAGTTCCTCTGTTAACAGTTGGGTTGATTTTTTTTTAAAAGTTCTGTTCCACAGACTAAAATCAATACAAATAAGTTTACATGTCATTGTCTCCTATTTTGTATTCAATAAAAGTTGATTTGGTTCCGTGCACAACAGAGAATGCAGGAGGTTATAAAGCAAAATTAGACCGCAAGTTTTGTTCTTTTTTTATCATGACATATCAATTAGATTAGCAACAGAAAGAATATTTTATTAAATTTATTCAAATATATTTAAATTTCTTAAATTCGCAGTAAACAACAACCTTCTTTAAAGAGACTAAGAATATAGTTGCTGGAAAATATTTTTGTATTTGACCAGTATGGACATCCATCCATGACTGACGTCATAGTACTAAATCTTTTGCATCCCAGAGAATAAAATTAAAGAAAGTGAAACAAATGCTCCTCTGCATTTAGTATGAAACCAGCAAATTTCTAATTATGACTATCACACCTAAAAGAAGACAAGTTGTACATGTTTAAACGCTGTGCTTAATGTGTGATTATATAGGCAGTGGATTAAAGGGATAGTGAGCTGTTGTAATATGAATTTAAGAAGAACTCAAGCTGAATTTGAAAAGATGCAGGGATGTTAAAAAACCACATCCAGGGATGGAAGTAAGTTTGGCAAGGTGGCAGATCTTTGCAGGCGTATGCTTGAATATTGTGTGGTAAATTTGACTGATAAAAATGACATAATCAACATTTTATGTAATCTTATTGATTCAATTGCTTAGATTTTTAAAAGCTTTCTATGACTTCCCTTACATTGAAAATTGACACAAATGAAAACATAAGGTCGAACACAGCCTGACCCACTGTTACACAATCACAGCAGGAAAGAGCAAGAAAAAAACAGCAAGGATCTGTGACTGCGTCACACAGCAGCGCACAGGACACAAGCACGGTGACGGACTGCAGCTTTACAGTGCACAGAAGGACAGATCAGCAGCACGCAAAGAGCAGAGGGAAGCCTCGGCAGAACAAAGCTACGAAGAGATGCACAACAACAATGACAGGGAGCAGTGAAGCACAAAGAAGCGGAGAGAAACTCCTGCCTCTCTTTTTTATTCTCAATGGCAACACAGCAAGGCAGATTTTTTTTTTTTTTTACTGCATTGCAACAAACACACGTAGGGGAATAAGAGGTAACTGCATGGGTAAAGGTGTGCTTTTGAGAACACACACACACACACAGACGTACATACATACATACAGCAGGGTGTGCCACGAGGTCACAAAAAACAGGGTTGGTGGATATTTGGCCAGCCAGAGCTGAAGACACACACATGAGGGGGTGTATAGGCATTTTCAGACAGCCAGCACCCAGAGGACTCACACAGAGGAGCCCTGAGGTGATTTTGAGGACACACACACCAAGTGAGGGAGGGGGGAAGCGAGGTGGGGGGGGGGGGTCGGAGGTGATTCTGAAACGGCCACCTCGGCGGACACATACGGAGGGGGGGGGACAGTGGTGGTACCTGCGGGGCCCCTGTGGGCAGACGCTTCCTGACTCCCGTTCCATTTCTTGTTCCTGTCTGCGTTTGACCGGACCCCCAGTGCTCCTCATGCACGCAGCTACAGCCAATCCACTATGAGCGTTAGCCTCATGCAGGGGTCTGAGCACAGCTGAGGATGTTAACAACAGAGCGGGAGATAAAAGAGATAAAAGAGATATAACGAACAGAGTGGCAGCGAGAGAAAGTGTAAGGGAGCGGAGCAGGAAAACAAAAAAAAACAAGAGAAGGGGCGAGAGGAAAAGATCAGGACAGACACAACATGTGGACCAAAGAACAAGTGAGACAAATATAGACAGAGAAGAGAGAAGCAGAGCAGAAGAAGTGGTTATGGGGGATGGGGCCTGCATGCAGTAAACTCTCCTACTAGAAGTTTATACGTGTGTGCATTTTATACATTTGCAGAATTGCAAAGTGGGACACTTTGTTTTAGGCATCTTTTAAATTTTTCTGTACAGAAATTGCCTCATCTCACTTCAAAGCACTGCATGAATCATCAGACCAAAAATAAGTACGAGCACAGTAACAAGCCTTTTTTTTACATGAATGCCCGGTGACCAAGTAACAAAAAACTCAGCAACATCCACTTAGAGTGTTTCAAATTCTGCCGTGTCTGGCAATAATGATTATCCTACTTTACAAAAACCCAATGAAAAATTCAGCAGCTGTCCTGATTTGGTGCACTCCAGTCGAATTTAGCAGCTGCTGTGCAATATCTTATTCTAAATCACGATTTCCAATCTTCAGTCTTCCACTCTTTCCACATTCTGATTATTTTCCAGAACTCCAGTTCACACAGTTCTGGCATGAAAGTGTTGAGTCATACTATTTTTCTTCATATATAACCAGAGAAATGGGAAAGAGATTCAACACTTCATTCAATAATGCAAACTATAATATAATATAAACCAGGCTTCTTGAAGGACATCTCAAAGGTTTTTCTTTGGACGGGGTTCCTTTTGTTATGCTTTCTTAATAGATGATTACACAAAGCTTTAATAATGTTAGGGTCTGGGTTTTGGGGAGGATTTATTCCTACATAGGACCAGTTGCCATTGATTTTCAGTCCACATCCTTTACTTCGGCCTTTTATCTGTGTTTGTCTTCCTGAAAAATGGCTTCTTGACAACCGCCCTTCCATGGAGACCATTTCTGGTGAGGCTTCAGCGAACAGATGGATCAACTGAAGGTCCAGATGGATCTCTCAGGTCCTGTGTCGGGTCTTGGATGGATTTTCTTCCTATTCATTTAGGACAGCACTTTCAGATACCGTTCGTCTGCTGTAGATTCTTTTATGCCCGCCGTTTCTTATTTTGTTCTACCATTTGTCTGGCTTCTGACTGCACACCACAGTTAAAGACAATCTCCGGCTTTTACTAAAATAGTGCTGAATATCAAACTTAAGGCTATTTCTTTGAAAAACCGTCTGTGGAGAAAAAAATATGGTTAATCCCTTGAGTTATCTGGCCCTGTAAAGACTGGATGATTTATGGGTCAGTGATAAATAGCTCAATCAGCAAAAGCTCACATTTCTCAGAAAAGACTGAGAGTGAATGAAAAAGCTTTCCTGCGTCCAAAGTAAGCCTTTTAAAGACCTTCAGAAAGCCAGGCGAACTACTTATCTTAACACTTTAAAAGATAACATGAAGGTCTGCCTTCCTGGAAGGAAAGGTCTTTTGTACTGCACTGTAATAATAATACGGAATCTATCTTCCACAGCAAACTCCGTCTGTGTCCATTTCCATCCATCCTTCCATTTTCTTCCGCTTATCCGGGTCGGGTCGGGTCGGGTCGGAGGGGCAGCAGCTTAAGATGGGAGACCCAGACTTCCCACTCCCTCGTCACTTCTGCCAGCTCCTCCGAGGGCCATCCCAAGGCGTTCCCAGACCAGCCGAGAAACACAGTCCCCCCCAGTGTGTCCCGCGTCTCATTCACCGGGGTAAACCCCAAAGTACAGGCACCGGTTTTCCAGTTTTTAACACATTGGGAAAACCTTTTTGCTCTTTTCCACTCAAAAAACTTCATAAACCTAAAAAAAGGGTTCTCCAGGGTTGAGAATCATTACCAGAATTCTTCTTTCCTAAAAGCTAAATAAAGATGTCTATACTGCATGTGCCACGCTTGCCTACTTTCACACTCTTTCCCACTTTGCAACTCTTTTGTGTCTGCATCAGTTCGCATACAGTGAGCACATGTGGGTAAACTCACTGCTCATATCTATCTTTTACAAGAAAGCTATAGCGTAAAGCTGGAACCTTTTGCCATAGGTGGCTCACACAGGCCCATTTAAGTCTTGCTGTGTCCAGAAATGATTTGACCCCCATCCCGAGTGTGTTGGTCCAGTTTAGAGCAGCTTGATTTTGGGCCAACTATTGTGTTTACAGGCATTGTGAAGGTCAAACTTTTTATCCAACAAACAGCTTGTTCCTGTGCCACATAAACAGGCTTGGATTCTAGCTAATAGCTGAGAAAAACTGAGGCTACGTTAGGTGAATTATGTGACATAGCTTTCTTTGGTGTGTAGCACTTGTGAGAGAAATGTTAGCTAAGAATGAGGGAAGATGCAACAAAAGGGGCAACAAAAGAAGAAGCCGTCACCCTTCTGGGCTGGTGGAAGGACAGAATGACAGAGGCAGAATAAAGGATGGTGGATGGCGGCTCTGTTGTTGTTGGCTGTAACGACCTCTACGACACAGAGGCAGATTATTCAGCGTCTGGCTGAGTCCATCGATACGGGCACGAGAACCCGGAGTCTGTTACGCAATCACACTAATAGTGATGCCATCTGTTCTTTCACACGTCGTCCTTTCACTTGATCAAGGTTGCGTATACTTTCAGAGGAGCGTACGCATGTGTGTCAGACGTGACACACTGAAGCACACACACACACACACGTTATAACAAATAGAACACAACACAATAATCCCCAATGGAGATTTAGCCCCTGCTAAGTCAGAGGCCAAAACTTGCACACCTCCAGTTTATGTAAATATCACATTCTGTAAGATTTCTGGAGAAAAACACAAATAAAACATGTCAGTTGTGGATGCATGGAACCAAATGAAAGTGCTCACATCCATACCACAATGATTTCAAAGGAATAAATTAGCTGTCAAGTGAAGATGCCTTACATCATATAATTAGATTGCTATGGTTTGCCATACAATCGCATCGCTGTAATCCCAATAATTTTATTTCACAGCTCTATTTTTATTTCTTGGCATGTACAAGCTTATAATTCAAATTCGACTGTAAGCTGATGAATTTATGTAGTAAATCAAACAGTCTAAAGTTTATATTTAAATGTGAAAGACAGAAAACAGCTAAACTATAGCCGATATTAATAAATTCAAATATCTGAATTTCTACTTGTTTCTTTTCAAAAACAACAAATACATTGCTCTGGGATAACATGAATACTTACATATACATTTATATTTTTTAGATATATTTTAAAAAAGCCATTTTCTTTTCAACTACAGGAGTTGTGTCCCACTGTTCATTAGAGAAGGAGCATTATTCAAGGCTCTGCAACTGCAGCATTCTTTTTAAACGAGTTCAGGAAAGTCCAAAATGTGACTTTGAGATCGAAGATCTTTTTAAGTAATTAAGAGCTAGAGAGTACGAGTGGCACAAATGGAAGTTTGCACCTGGAGAGAGGATATTCCCTTTAATTATGTCTGTAATATCCTGCTCACCAGAATGGGAGACACTGATGATCACAGGGGGCATAAACACTGGCCCCGAAACACTGTTAAATGTCTTGATTGTTTATGAACTTAGTTTCTACTATACTACACATATTTGTGGTCAACAAATCCATAGAAACACTCCATGCAACCTGAAGGCTTTTACCATGGAATGACCATAACCTTCAGAAACCCAGAGGAAAATAGAACTACTATGACATTACAGTCACACACACATCCATGCTGACTCGATACGAGCTGACTTAAGTGTGTTTTAAATCAAAAGATGTTCCCATTCTACGATCGTTCCACAAGAGTTCTCAGGTTAATCGAAACCGAGGCGAGGGCAGCGAGTAGTACTGCGCTCTGTCCAGCCGACACAGCTGGAACCGTTAGGCATGCTCACCACGACATAAAAAGCACTGGACTAGCTGATTCTTTTTTTTTTTTTTTTAGATGCACCAGTGAAAAGAAACAGATGGGGAGACGGACCAACAGATGGGAACGAGGACATAGACGAGGTCAGACAAAAGCGGGGACAACACAAGTCACTGCGTCTGCTAACTAGACAACAGACCATAATCTGACCTCAAAGCTGTGAAGTAAAAGTCTTCAGCTTTAAAATCTGAGCGTGATTCTTGGACGTTTTGATTTTTATAAAGAATGTTGAAACAGCTTTAAATGTACATGTAATTCTTCCTATAATGAAATTGGTATGGATTGTGGTGAATGCAGTAAACGTTTGGAAGCAAATAAGTCAGGCACATAAAGCTGAAACTCCACACAGCTACGGGCTAACAGGAAGGTTCGCCTCCCAAACACATAGTCATTGTCCCCCATAACCTGCTTCTAGCCTGTATTTCTTTTTTCATCCATACCCTGGTGCTGGAGCTGGTCCAAGTCCATGAATTTGCTGGGTTTGGGGTTGAATCCCATGGCTGCCTCCCGCTCTTTCTCCTTCCGCTTCTGCTGCTCCTGCTGGCTGGCTCTCCTCGCCACCTCCTCCTGCAGTTCATCCAGCTCACTGCGCCCAGGGCCTGAAGACCCCAAAAAAATGATAAAGTGAATCCAAGCCAATCCTCACTGGGCTTTACACGTGGAAAACTTCCGTACCTGCTTTGATGCCACCACCCCAACTGGGTGAGGGCACCTCTTGCAGGATAGCGCCGCTGCTCTTTGACTTGGGCACCGAACGCCATGACGGTCCTGACATTAGCGCCCGTTTTTGTTGCCCCACCTCCCTGTAGAAAGATGCAGAGAGGGTAATAACACCAGCAGAAACAGGCATGGCTAAATCAGACATTACAGACAGCGTTCGCTGCCTTATTTGTCGTTATTAAGCACTTCTACTGGACCGTTTGTCCTTGTTAATGTCCAATTTGTGTTTCATGCTGATAAAGCGAAGAAGGGGGGTGAATAACAAGAGAAAACCTACAGCAGGGAAGCATAATGGACGACAAAAACTGAGAGGGAGAGACGGTAATTGTTATTTGGGAGAGATCTACCTGTCAGGGCTGCTGCTGTTTCTCTCGCTGCTTTCGTAGCCACTTTCCATCCTCTGGATCAGACGTGGCTGGTGCTCCACCCCTCTCAGAGGTGGAGGAGCAGGGGGACCCATTGTCCGCCCACTGCCCAGAGACCTGGGCTGACCTACCAGCCCAAAGCCCACCTCCAAGTCGGGAGGCGGGCCTGACTTTGAGTCTTGCAGTCCTGACTGTGGGGCAGGTCCCTCCAAAGGGATGGAGTCCTGGGGGTCTGGGTGGACAGGGGGGGCAGGTACTGTGTTATAGCCCAGACAAGTGTCTCTCTGTCGTGTGAAAATACTGTCGATGTTCAGGGCCTCTCTCCTAGGCCTCCAGGTCGGCCGGTAACGACTTCCAGAGGAGCTACAGAGTAAAAGAGAGTTGTTGTTTTTTTGCTAGATAGCTACGCATGATGTGTTATTGTTGTAGGGGGACAGCTTAATCGTTTAATTGAAAAGGTGTTGATATGTTGCTGATGTGGGCCTATTGGCGTCAATGAGCAGCGAGCTACTGGAAGCACCGCCTGACAGTGAAGCTGCCAATTTTTGATTTGATCTACGGTCCAGCCTGGGCACAGCGCACGGAGATGAGCTGTGGCGGCTGAAGAATGAAATGACCAATAAAAGAGAAATGAGTTTCCTTTAAAGGGTGGCTGGGCTAGTCCTTAGGAGTACTGTACGACGTCCTGCCATCTGGGAGGCGCCCTCCATATCAAAAGGAGGTTCAGGCATCTGGTCAGAATGCCTTCTGGGCAGCCGCCTCAGGGCAGACCAAGGACCCAGTGGATTACATTGGAATATATTTCTTGGCTGTCTTGGGAGTGACTCGTGTCCCCTTGAGAGATCTTGAGGAGGTTGCTGCTGAGATGGAGATGTCTTGATCTCTGAGGTACTGAGACCGTGGCTTCACATCCCAAATAAGTGCTAAAAAATAGATACTGTCGAATGTTAAACCAATCTAATGATGAAGTTATTCACAGAAAAGTCGGTAATTCGGGTTTGTGAGCATTTCCTTCTTATTGACACAACTATTCAACCTTTGATTTCTCTTGTGACTATTTGCAGCCTGGTAATTGCATAATTTTGGGAAAATATTGGTAGCCTTATCTCAGATGAAAAATAAAGAATTTTCATTTTGACTTTAATGGAAACTGAACTTTTTTTGTCCTGAAGATCAGATATTTTGATGCCTGCGGTAATTAGTTATATAGTTCACTGCATTTTATTTTATGTCATGTTATGGTTTGTTGTTATGTTATGTCAAAACAAGGACTTCTTTCTGGTATTGAATAAGAAACTCTGATTTCCCATTTGTCACCGAACAGTGGCATCTGCCTCTAAAAAAAATAAATCTCAGTCACATAAGCTGCATTTCTTAATGCAGGAGTTTATTTCTTATTGTTTTGTGAGTGATCTGAGCTCTGCGTTGGCTGATTGTAGGCTGTCTGTGATACACTGTGATGGTGTGCTCCAAGGGCTATTAAGCTCTGAAAAGAGGTCAGCTCTGAAGAAGAGAGGGACAGAGTGCAGCTGAGTGGGTCACTATGAACCCGAAAAATTATCCATTTAAGAGGAACTCCAAATCCATGAAATAGGTGCTGCTTCAGATTCTGTTATTTGGACCGAAAGATTTCAGCTTATGAAAAAGAGCATTATGGTTCTCCTTTAAAAGAGATTCTCTTTTTTTTTTTAAATATATACTGTAGGTGGACACATCAGAATACATGAAGAAAAAGACGGAAAGTGCCACTCAAATCAAGGTTAAATTTATAACTCATCAATAAAACATGTTCAACAGGCTTGGACGTGAACTCGGTGGCAGCAGGATGTCTACAGCTGACGGGAGCGGATGATGCAGTACCTGGACTTGCTCTCGCTGCTCGTGCTTTCATCCTCCCAGTGGGGCCCCCCGACCCCGCCCTCGCAGCCCCCGACTCCCGACGAAGACGAGGAAGACAGGGGGCGAGAGGAAGAGGAGGAGGAGGTGAGGGGCCGGCGGGAGGAGAGGAGGAAGACGGCCGTCTCCTTATACTCCTGCAGCGGAGGAGAGGGAGGGTGGGCAGGACCCTCCACCGCTGACTCTAGAGCGTGGGAGAAAAAGGGAGGGAGAGGAGGAGCAAGTAAATCCAATAACCTTTTTATTTATCCCACGGGGAGCAATTACGTTAGCAGCGGTGTAAATAAATATGAGAATAACCACTAATGAGGCACGCAACCTGAAGAGTCTGCAGGGATAAGGGAACAGCAAACAAGAAGAACTCAGTTTATCCCTAAAAAAGACGTAAAAATTGGAGTTCTGTTTCTTCTTAACAGTATCAATATAATAACAAGTGTTCTGGTTTAGAAAATGCTCTCCTTCCCGTGAAAAACACTCGTATACCTACAGATATTTCAAAGTTTTACGGCGGCCCTGCTGAGGGAGATAACTTTGCCTTCGGGTTTTTGTGGCGTTACCTCCAGCGTCAGCACCAAGCGGCGGTGTGTCGGTGTCGTAATTGCAGACCACCGTGGTCTGGGACTCGCTGGAGAGATGGCTGCCCGTGGACTGGTGCAGGGGTCGGCCCCGGGTAGTGCGGTGACTGGAGCTGTCGGTGGAGGAATCGGTGCGAGTGTCGCTGGATATAGACGGCTCCCGGCCTGAGCGAGAAAGCACACATAACCCCACCTGAATATGCGGATAATCCCGCATAAACATCGTCTATTTCCACGCAGAGGCGGGAGGACGGGCTCAGGTTCCGCGCTCGACAGAAGCAGAGGTCGGATTAAAGGGTTAAGGGTCGGAACTTTTCGAGCTGAATCCTCTCATCCGACCAGCTGATAGGGACCGAGTAATCTCGTCTGATGTGTGGCGGGAGCGCTCATCTCTGCCGTACCTGAATCCTCACTGTCGTAACCGGCTTTGCTGCTGCAGTGCTGGAGCTCCAGCTGCGGGTTGGAGCTGGTACAGGGGTTGGGGCTCTCCTGCAGTATCACCGGCGTCCCACGGGGGTCAGCGTAGAGCAACAGAAGGGGCTGATAGTGGCCTTTGATACAGCGAGACACTACGTCCTTCCACTTTGGGCCAATCTGCAGGTGCAGCACGGCGCACACAAGAGGACACACAAAACTGAGCGCACACATAAATGTATATATTTATATATCTATATCTCTCTCTCTGTATATATATATATATATATAAAACATCTCTCTGTGTGACGTCATAACATTATGAATATTACATCCAAAGTAGAAGGTCAAATGCAATTTGTTCTGCTGTGTGAACTGATTTAATCATATTATCACACTTCAACGCCAGCTCAGTCAAATAATCTAATCCAATACAATCCAGAGTGTGTACTCTAATAGGGGGATTCAAGGACACATTCTGTTGTACTAAGAAGCAGAACTCCAGCTCCTGTCTCCCATACAGCGAAGCATCACTTTAAGCAAACAGATTTAAACACAAAGACTCACATTTAGGCCAGGAATCAAAACCTGAACACAGGAGTCAACGCTGCTGCATCGAGCCTGAGCGTGCAGCACTTAAAAAGCCGTTCAGCACAGTTCCTGTCTCTCTCCTGCTTCTCCAGGCGCACAGCTGAGGATGCAGCAGATGCCGTTCCAGCGCACCCCCCCCCTCCTCCTGCCGCAGCACTAAAGCTCCCCCAAAAAAACTACGTCTCACCTCTTTGACGTGCGCGTCGTCGAAGTACATCCACTTGCGTATCTTGGTCTGGAAGAAGAAGGTGGAGTAGTGCTTGCCGTAGTAGCACACCATGCCCACCAAGTAGAGCTCCGCCTGGCGAGCCCTCTCCTCTGTCACACGGTAGAACAACTACACGGAGAGATAGCCGAGGGAGGGCGAGAGGGGAGGGAGGGGGAGGAGACGGGAAGGGAGGGGGCGCATGCAGGGGGGAGAGGTGTGCAGCGCACAGCGAGTGGGACAGAGACAGAGGAGTTAATGTGAATACGAGCACATTCTGGCTCACCTGGTGTGTGCCGTATGCAGTAAGGCTCCGCGTTCTGTCCTGACTTTTACTCGGCTGGTGAAAAAAAAACAAATTTCACAGTGCTGCACACCCTACTGCAGCTTCTAACGCAGGAGTCTGACAATGGCGTTCCAAAGGTCACTCGCTGCTTTTCATATTCCAATGTGCATATAACATAATCCTCTTTTTTTTGTATAATCCTGCCTGATTGTGCTTTGAGGTGACTTGTATTCACCGACTGCTGCAAAGGACCAAATGTTCTGCGACTAACAGTCACTCATTAGTCTTCGAAAATGTCAGAAAATAGTCTCTTAGATGTTTTCCAGCTCAAGGTGACATCAAACTCAAAACCTTTTTTTATTTCCAAATTCTTAGACCCCAGACTGTCATCTCACAAGGACACACAGAATAACTTACACAGCTGAAACCTGCACGTGTGCTAAATGTCGCTTAATAAATGCCTTTCTAGTAACAACAGATAATCAAGATCTATTTATCATGACAGATTCTTTTTCGGCACTAAAATGACCTAATCAGGAGATAAAGGGGGGCATAAAAGAATAAACGGTAGGCAAAAAAGAGGGGAAGCAGATGCAGAAGATGGAAAAACTGAAACTAAGAGCTGCGGCAGTAAAGGAGACGGGATACGAGAGGCAGATGGATTCACTTTTAACAACTTCACAAAAGACACGAGTTTGAATAGATTATTTCTCAGATTGGTTCCTAACAGCTAGTTTCATCCTACAACAGCAGACTGAAAACCACAGACAGGGCAGCAGCCATAGACACCAGATAAAGGGGAAAAACTTGACTCACTGTAACACATATTCATATTCACTAATCCATTATTCATGGATATCACTTCAGAATGCGCCTGGAGATGTTACAGCAGCATTAATATGCATCAACATTGCTCAGTCATGTCACAGAGTTTCAGAAGTTGAACATATGTCTTGTGTGTGTGTGTCTGTGTGCCCATGATATAAATGGTGCAGTGGATTGTGCTGCATGTTCTATCAGAATGAGCATTCGCACAAATTTGCACAAAACTCGCACATTTACTTAGCGGCCAGCAGAGGCCTACAGCACTAATTTAAGAGGAATTCATTTCCATATGAAGAGCCTGACAGTATATTTAAAAAACACACAAACACAAGAAATAATGAGCGGACAAATTTGCTCTAATATGCAAAAAACAGCACAGATGCATTGAAGAAGAAAACACACCCTATTTCACTTTGAGGATTTTTGTGTGAGGAAATCAGGAAAATCACCTGGCTTTAACCAGGTAATGAAAATAGGTAAATAGAACTAAATTAATTGTGGTTGCCGGCTTCCGTTTATGCACAGTTCCTTTAAGGTCCCACAACAGCTTTTTAATTAGGTTGAGGTTTAGACTTTGACCAGACCATTTGAATGTCTTGATTCAATTCTTTTTTTAGCTATCCTATTGTATATTTGTTGCTGTGTTTGATCATTGCCCTGTGTCATGACCCTGAAAAGAACCAAGCTTTTGATGTCCGCTTGTGGGCCAAACATTTCACCCGGCAGTAATTCACTGTATAAAGTCTGCGATTGACACAGCGACTGCAGGGTGCCTAACATCCCCACTTTGCCCCTATCTGTCGATTGGATATTGTTCCAGAAGTCTTGGGGTTTTGCAGGGCAAGATTTAGAAATTTAAGTTGTACGGTCATGCTCGCATTGGAGAGAGGGGACTTTCTTTTGGCGACCCTATTGATGTCCAGATATCTTTAAGTTTTGCATGTTAAAATTGTAAATTTCTTTTTTTTAAATAACTTTTTTGTCTGCAGTTGATTTTTCTCATGAAACATTAGTCATAAACCTAACCCTAGAAGCACAAAGTCTTAAAGCAATGAGTGATACTTATATGAGTATAAACATTGCTCAGACAGCCCCAGTGAGAGGACGAATCACTATGGTCGCATTTAAATACATCCATCCCACTGGTAATGCTTTATTTGAAAATAACTAAATAAATATTCAGAGTTAATTCCAGGCTTTCTAATGCTACAATGATGTACAATATAGGCAGAGCCAACAGTTTACTTGCACAAACTGTGAAACAAACTCCTTTTTTCAACATGTTTGGGGAGTTTTACTTGGCTGCTCAGACAGGTACTGTATGTAGGGCTTGTGTTAATATTCTATAGACAAAAAAGAGCATGTGTGCAGTGTTGCATCCTCTTACATCTCCCAGACGCAGGCAGGTTCCCAGGCTGTGTATGACGTCCTCCGCAAGGTCAGAGTGGTCAGAATCCCACACCAGCCCGATGGACACGATCTCTGGCGAGTTCATCAGCACCCGGCGGATACGCAGCACCTCCCCACAGTTGCTCTACCACAACCACAGGAAAGGGGGAAGGTGAAAAAAAAAAGTTAGTGTGGATAAACAGGTTTTAATCGTGTATTTCAAAGCTCAGTGTGCACATTAGACAAAAAAAAAAAAAAACCCTGTGCACAGATTGGCACGCAAAGTTAATAGTCACAGAATGAGGGGTAGAGATGAAAGGCGGGAGAAAAGAGATGATGAAAGGACCGCAAAAGAGAAAGACAGAAGAAGAAGAAGTGCTGTGCCGAGTCGTATTTGTCCCTTGGGCCTTCTGTCGAGTTCAGAACCGTGTGTTCTGAATCCTTCCTTTGAGTCATGACCCACCGCAGAGATCTGGACGCACACACACACACACACACAGCGACCCGCATGTGAAAGCCTACGCACGTGCACACGCGGGCGCGCACGAGCGTGCGGGCGGCACTGGCAGAGCGGGGCTCGGAAACAGCCTGAGAACACCCCGGCAACCAGACACTTTGCCAAGCACAACCCGCGTACGCACACACACACACACACACACACACACACACACACATTGTGCACAATCACACACACACACACAGAACTGTCCCTTTGTGGGCAGCGCGCCGTCTTGCACTGGCACCAGAGAAGGCAGGAAGGTATTTTGACAGGGTGTGCTCCTGGTTTCTCTGAAAGGGACACAAACACAAGCCGGGGAGCAGCAGCCAAACAGCCCAGCTCTGGGACGGGGGGGGTGAGGGGGGGGGGGGGGATCTATTTGCCCGGGACGGACAGCCTCCGTTAGCCTTCTGTGCTGTCTCACCGCTGAGAGCAGCCACTGACGATATCGTTCATCAAACGACTGTACAAACAGATTTGTTTTGCTTCGCAGCACAGCATTGATCGCTGCAGTCTCATCTCTGAATTATACATGGAAAGATTTTTTTTGGTCTGTTTTTCTCATTCTCAACACCGTGCTGGTGCAGACCTTTCAGTTTGGCTTTGTGTTATGTAATAGAATAGGGCTGCTGGTCAAATAAAACTAGGTTTTTAGAATGCTGATTGGGTCCCTCTTTGAAGAATAATAAAGCTACTTGCTAAAAAGAAATTTATGTTATGCGTCTTGACAACTTATTTTCTACAGCAAAATGTAGACAGTAAGAAGTCTGTTAAGAGAAAAAAAAACACTAAATATCAACGCAGAGGTGGAAGGGCTACAGCATGCATGGACTTAATGGACAGTTCAAGTCTGTGTACGGTTCTATTCTTCGTCTATATTTGGTTCTAAATCAGTCAAAACAAACTTAGTACGCAAATATACAAATCAAGGAAAACTAGAGCCCGGTGGATGAGAAAGACTAAAATCCAGCCAGCAGTTTTGAATCTGGCTCCATTTTTAGCAAGAAACAGCCTACATACTTAGTTTTCAGACACTTCCTGGATCTTATTTAAATAAATGTATGTCATTATTTGCCCACGCAGATGTGATTCTTCTAAAGCTTCAGTGAGGCTCAATCGCAACTAATACTAATATCAATTTTGAAATGAAGCTCCTCTAAACTCAACTCTAATCTTATTCCTCGTAATGATCCTTCCTAGTAAAATCCATACCTACAAAATATTTAATTAGACAAACAATTTGTCCATCACATAGCTAAATAAAAAAATACTCCCTCCGGATTCATCTCACACAATTTTGGTTTTAAGTTCAATTGAGTTTAGTTCAGCTGGTCCCATCCTTAAGATTTTCTGCTTTTAATCTGGCGCCACATTCCTCTCCCAGTGCCATCACCTTGTTTGAGTAAAGCCAAGGGTGGTGCTGAGAACAGATCAGAGCCTCGAGCGATGGAGGATGAACAGAAGCAGTGTCAGCCTTTAGGCCGTGGAGGGTGTGTGTGCTGTTGAGGGGGAAGTGTGTGAAGAGAGGGGCAGCTGCTCGAGAGAGAGGGGGCTCTTTGGCAGGAAGGGGTTTGGTTTGGTGACCGGAGCCAACTACTCAACAGCAGCCCTTTCCCATGAGGCAACACAACACAGTTCCCCTTCCACGCCTCTCAAACGTCTCCAGATTCTGTCCCCGCTCTATTTACTGTTCCTCGGACTCAAACACGCTGTACATTAGGCGTGTCGTTTGAAACCGTTCCCCACCTGAGCACTTAAACGTGATCTCCCGCTGTCAGGAGATTATGACGATAATTATGGATCACTGTGAAGGGGGTCAACGAGGACAAATGCTTGCGGTAATAGAAAGAGGGGAAAAAAAATGCAAATGAGATGCTGATTATGTAACACAGACCCGCCAAGAAAGAAGGGAAAAATACACAGAAATTATGAAACCATGGTACAGCATAAAATTCATCCGGCCATAACCCATTTGTCAGTCGTGGCTTCTAAAAGTAGGGATATAAAATACTGCCCCTGGTCTGACCCCCTCTAGTTTAAACACGGATCATAACCAATGAAAATGATTAACTAAAAAATAACTAAAAGAGGTCACGTGTTGTACAATACACAAAATTCTAACTTCTGTTTTTCCTATTCTGTATTTATCTTTTCATTTTCTATATTTTTTTTACCATAGATATTCCTTCTTTGTTTGAGCCTGTAGAGACAAACCCCCTTACCATAGCTTATTTTATCATTATGTCCAGTACAGTCTCACGCTCAAAAATAAATCCACCGTCACATCACAATGAATCTACTTTTTTCAGTTTCAATTATCTCTGATTCTCTAATGCCTTTCAGAGTTCAGAGACAGCATACATGTGGGCATCATTATCCCAGATGACTGCTGACAAAATGGCTGACCTTGTCTCTCAGCAACGAGAGATTCACGACAAAGGATGTAAAGAATAGAGTGTTAGGGTTTGGTGGTTTTCTTAGTAAAGTATAAAAAGTATTACTAATCAAACTTAAATAAAAGTAAGTGAGCTGCGTAATAAAAATACATCCATTTGAATTTCAAGTTCCTTACACACAGAAAATATACAAATCAATGGGCAGGATGAACTATTAGCACACTGACATATGTCTCCATCTGTTTTATAAGAGTGTGTTCTTACAGGGCAGTTGCGTAGGTCTCCCATGTTGCTGGCATTACGGAGCAGTTCTCCAAACATATCCGGAGTGGGTTTCTCTCTGCACTCCAGCATCCGTACCGCCTGGTTACTGCAGTATTGGACAAAACACACACACAGAGCAAAGTCACGCAGTCAGTGAGTCAGAGCCTCGTAGCACCGGGTTTGAAGCCATTACAAACTTGGAAACAAAATGCACTTCCAAACCAAATTCTAACATTGTTTTCATACTTTAGAATTTAAAATATTTTAACAAATGGTCACCTTAAGATAAATGTCTGCAAAATGGCAGCCTGATATCCTTGTCCTTTTTTAAGCCTATGGAAGGACAAACTCCATCATACATTCTTATTCTCTGTGAATACCAATTCAAAACGCCTGTTTCAGGCTCAGGACCACGGGTGTGCAGTATGTATTCTTAAGTGTTCTTTTTTTTTTTTTTTTTAAGCCATCTAAATGTGTTCTGCTCTTCAACGTCCCCCTTTCCATTAGCCCTGAAATGAACCACCTCTCTGCAGTCTCTCACTCGTTCTGTAGAAAGCAGAAATGCTTTCAGAAAAGCTGGGAACATGCTTTTGTTTCAGTTTACTTTATTTCTGAGTGGTGAACCAGACATTCGTTCCGTTTTTACCTTTTTTGTCTCCTTGTCCTGTGATTATCCTATTCATGTAGACCTTTTCATTTTGTGGCTGTCTGGGCCTCAGTAAAGATAAAAATAGCTCAGCTGTGCTAACAGGCACAAACACAGAGCCATGGCACCTCTGTGCCTTACAATCAACCAGAAATTGTTTTTTTTGGTACTTTTGCCCCCCATTCATCCCTCAATTTCCAGTGTTGTGTTTCATTTAAAAAAGGGATACAGGGGGACGCATCCCCTTATTTTTTTCTCATTTGCCTTTTCCGGCCCACTGTTTCACTTATAGATTTATTCCACCCTCTGGGTGCACTGAATCAAACACCTGATTGATTACTTCCCCCTGCTCCTTATTTCATTAACTCGGAGTGTGTGAGATTTTTTTAATGTAAGAACTGCACACGTGCACGCACATTCCCATGCGTGGATTTACATGCGTGTGCCGATATCCGCCTTTGCATGTGGGACACGTAGCCTCACCTGCTCCCGCGGATGCGCGAACGTGGATTTATGTGTGTGTGATGTATGTGTTTACATGTTCGGTGCGGCCACACGTCAGGAAGTCGAGAACATGCTGTACCTTCCTTTTACTGCCGCCCCGTCACAGCTTGTAGCCAGATTTACTGCAGTATGTGCGCACACGTGTGTGTGTGTGTGTGTGTGAACCTATGGTTGTGTGTGTGTGTGTGTGCGTATCTTTACGTCTGATCTTACCAGAGTGATGTTGTGGAGATGTAATGAACCATCTGAATGAAGGGCAGAGGGTCCGACGTGGCTCCGCAGCTGTTACACACACACTGCAAACAAATAGAAGGTTCCGTGAGGATTTCTTTAAACGCTCTCCGGGATGGCAGAAGGCGCCAGCGGTCTCCCACCTGTTCGAACAGAGTCATGGCAAACTTCTGATGGGGTATGCAGTGTTTGGCCGTGCAGATGTCCTCTCTGCTCTCCGCACTGATGTGGAAGTGGATTCGCATCAGGAGATTCTCCTGAGACACACACAAGGCAGCGACAAAGCCAGCACATATGAGATGTGTGTGTGTGCCTGCGTACAGTACACGCGTGAGGGAGAGCGCGCACGCGTGTGTTTGTGTGTGCTCTTGATCGCTCCTCTCTGTTGGTGCTCCTGGTAATCTGACCGTGGGAGCAGCATCTATATTTCATAAGAAGCCGACGGATTCCCTGACTGAACACATTTCCTTCCAATCGATCAGACATTGCCTCTCGGGCACACACATAAAACACACACGTTCAAACACAGACATTGTGTGGGATGGTGAAACAAAAAGACAGAGGCGGGGAAAGAGAGTGAAAGTGGCGGTGAGGAACCAACGGGAACAGTTAAAGGCAGAAAGTCAATGTGTAAAAGATGGCACATTAATAAAAGCTGGGCTTTTTTTTTTTTTACCTTTCAGGAGGGCAGAGAACATTTGCATCTTTATATTTGCATAATTTTCTGGACATAAAACCTAAATACATTTTTATTACTTTGTGGGCCATATCATTTTTTTCTTTTTTATGGCCGAGTTGATGCATGGTTTTAAATTAAAATTGACTTGAGAACTCCCAAATCAAAATTAAAAGCACTTATGACAGTTATCATCCTTAGACCGAAAAAAACTAAAGAATGGATTAATCAAAAGTTTTTTTATTCTTGAAAAAAGGGACTATTCAAGAGAGCTTTATATTTAAAAGAAAGGTCAGTAAATCCACCTTTTAAAGTCACTTTTGAATTTTGATTTACAATCACATTAGGGCCCTACGCCTTTAGTTTTCAAAGGCCACAAATGAGACACGAGTGTTAACTCCAAGATGATACTGCTAATGAACAACAAGGCCAAACATACCAAGATTAACCAAGATTAACTTGAACCAAAATTATGTGATTATGTGAAGTGTCATGGCCCTAAACATTTTGAATTTCATCTGTCATGTGGAGCACAGCCATTTGTGATTAACAATGGGCCTGGCTCACTAATTCTCACTGATGATGATCCTGCCGATAGAGGGAGCAGGATGATGCCGGTGGTGCCAACACTCTTACCGACTCTGTCACACGCTGCAAAACTGATAAGATGAAACACTGCATTATAGATGCACGATGAGCCCAAACATATGGTGAATACAGCTCAAGAGCTTCTTAAGGCAGAGAAATTAAATGTTCTTAGACAGACAAGCTGGTGAGACAGATTTCCACCGATTAAATATAAAACAGGATGTACTATAAGCTGAACAATGCTGCTTCTGTGGAAACTTGGAATTACTTTATTTCCTTTAAATGATCACTCTAAAAAGTCTTTAAATATAATCTCTTACAACATATATGTACATATATATATAAATGTATATCTTTTAAAGCACCCTGCTGTAAATCTCATGTCCCCCTGAGGCGTTTGCAGTATGGATGATAAACCTTTTGATAAACCGTGTGACCATGTGCTGTCACATACTCACAAAGCACTCAGCAGCGTCATCCATGATGCCCAACTGAAAGCGTTGTTCGTCCTGGAATGTCTTGGCCAGCGCGCTGCGCAGAGCGTCTGACGGCAGAACGCGCTCACTGCTGAACTGGAACTGAGCAAAGATACTCTGCGGACGCACAACAAAGACACAGACAACCATGCATTTTTTTTAAGTCAGCTATGCAAAATCTACACCACAAACCAGATTATTTTTCCGACAAACCTCCGCGTGGTTATTGCGTTTTTGAACATTTTTCTTTAAAAAAAAAAAAAAATCCACATGTGCATTTGTCTTGTAAGTGGACATCATGTTCTATGAACTGACCCGTAAAACCAGACAAACTAGCCGTTAACTTGTCTGGAGCCAAAGTGCTGCACAACAAACTCTGGCCAGACTAAAACAAACAACGCTGCCGGATCCTCAGTAACAGAGCATATCAATAATAAATGGCGTTTGCAGTGCACTTTTCTCTGACAAAAACAGCTCGGAGAGTGCTTTGTAGCAGCAAAAGAGAAAGCACAGCAAACTGTTGCAGGGGGTTAAGAGTGGAAGCGAGGCCACTAAAGTGTGTTTTGAGGGCAGCGCTCAGACACTGGAGAGCGGCATCTGATATTTTGGCGAGGGAGGGGCAGTTTACTATGTTTGCACTCGTTCCGGTATCACAGATCAAGACCCAATACTTAACCATTTTGAGTTCTCTGTTCTGCTCCAATTCGCCTGTTTTTTCTGTCTGCAGCAGTCCCCATCACTCTTTAGGTTGTGTGGTACCAGCAGCAGTTTAGAATGACGGTTTTGAAGTCAAAGAATACGGAAACATCTTATATATCTCAGACCACAGCTGCTTAAGAAAGGTCAAAGGGCAAATCAAAATTGTACTAAGTTGTAGAGTTTCATACTCAGCGGCCAACATGTTTAAAAATCACTAAATGTTCAATCTGGATAAGCTTCTGAAGAGATTACTGCATTGTCAGAATCTTTTAAAGATGTTATGGACTGTTATCATCATCAATTAACCTGATCTATTAAAAGACGTCCCCCTATGTGTATGCTTTATACCTCTAACTTTTCATTGCCTGTTTTCCAACTTTGGTTTCTACCATCAAATGTGAGCATTCATGTTCAATAATTGATGTTGTCTTTTGTGAATAGAACAAAACATGCAAATCACTGGAGTCTTTTTTTATTTTATTATCTAAGCTGTGCCTCAAAGTTTTTAGACTTTTGACCTGACCAGAAATAATAACAAAATATGGTGGCTCCCCCATAAAACAAAGTCCTCAGTGGCTGACCTGAGACTTCAATCAGAGGCAGAGAGAATAACTTTTGACTGACGCTGGACAAAGGAGTGCTCATCAGCTCCAAAGCAGGGAGCCATAAAAGCGAAAATGACTTACTTCAAATTGCCAACGGACAAAAATGACCTAATTCTTAGTTAAGAAAAGAATGAAAAACCTCTGCTGGAAAAACAAAAGAATGAAAAGAAAAAAATAAGTCACTAGTATGAGCTTATACTATAACAGCCCAAAGCAGAAATAAAGCTTAAGTTGAGTTGACGTCTAAGAGCAGTGGCTGGTGCTCTGTTGGTTTCCATCACAGGGGTTTTTAGTCTATGAAGAGATTTCCGGGCTCAAAAGCAGCAGGTGCTACATTTTCCTGACAGTAAATAAACACTTTTTCTGTGTTCTTTTTTTTTGCTTTGTACTGTATAAAGTGACAAATATTCCAACACAGCCACAGTTAAGCATATTTGTGTCATTTGTTGGAGTTCACAAAGGTTCCATTCATGTTTAAATCAAGTTATACAAAAAATCTGAGATTTTTTTGTTTTAATAAATAATATTT